AAATATCAGTAGATAGCGATATGATAATTAAGTTGATTGTATAATGAACTTTCAATATGTTGGATAATATTTTTACATTTTATAAGATTATAGTCCTAATTTGTTTTTTTTTTGTCAGAGACCTACTGTATTCAATTTGTATTTTGATCGAAGATATTCGAATGTGTTAGATTTCATTTATAAAAAAATAACTTTATGTGTTATTGTTAAAATTTAAAGTATTTCTGAGTAGAAGAGGATTTATAAAAACGTATTTAATGTTTAAACATTTAAATTGCTTTTTATTTTTATTTTTATTAGGCATTAAGGGAATCCTTAATAAACAGTTACCGAAATAGTTCGATTGAATTTATTTTTACCATTTCTAAAACGGTACGTATTTATTTTCCAATCGTGCATTTAACCTTAACCGATTCATATTTGATGTTGGCAGCCTTGTAGTCATTGCTGTGACATAAATATAAAATAGGTAATCTGAAATTGCTCTTTAATTAGACTGTCCATATATAAAGTGTCCTAGATTTACATACACGTGAAAATGCATACAATACCAATTTTTAAAGTATTAATAAATTACGTAACTACCATAATATGTGACGCCACTTACTGTTCATGCAATGAAAATAGAAATAAATGTTTAGATTATGGTGGGTGTGTTCCGAAATATAACCCAGCATACTGGCCAGTGCTGATGGCGTCTTGAATCGACGCCATATTGTACTGGTGTGCCACCATATTACACTGGTGAGACAAGTGTGACTATTCAAACGGGCGTATGTGTATCAGACTTTGAGGAATTTTTTATTGTAAGAAACTTTAATAACTTTTGGAGCAAAATTGTTGCAAACAAGCGCAAACACTATTCTCAATATGACGTCAATTTAACATCAACTCACTGGCCAGTATATTTCGAAACGAATCAACAGTATGGCGTCGATTTATGACGTCATCAGCACTGGCCAGTATGCTGGGTTATATATTGGAACGCACCCAGTGTAAATTAATTTTTTGGTTGGTATTGTTATAGACAACTTCGTTCGAATATGATTAATAATTCTTAAGAATACTTACTGTGGAAATCGTATATCTCATCCTTAACCCCCCCCCCCTTCGGATACACTAGAGGAAATGAATATCAGATATTTTAAGATCTGTACGAATTATTAAATAATATAAGTAATAATAGGACACGGTACATTTTTAATTTGAAATAAAATTAATTCATTTTGACTGTTTACTAACTTGTGCCATTTTTCAGGAAGTTCCCATTTGTTAAAAACATTTATGAATTCATCAGAATTTTAAAAAGTAACACGCTCTTTATAAGCCTGTAACTCTTTGACGAATAAATGCATACAAAATGAGTGCAATCAACTGATTAACCGCCTTCTTACGATAACTAATTAGCCCGTTGACGTCAGAGCGCTCTGGTCTTGATAGTCTAGGTGATATTGGCGTCACCCTTATTGCAATTGATAAGGGCGGCATATTCACATATTCACTAAAATCCGCATACGGTATATGTTCTAATCGAAACTCTCATTTTTATTATCTTGAGACATTTATATCGATTAGAATAATGGTCAAAATAAAATTTTGTACCATGTACCTACCGCAAAACGTCTTAAAAACGGGAGTGCAATAGGTAGTTCCTCACATGTTATGTTTATTGAAAGGAAAGCCACGATGCATGGAACGTGCTCGTTAAACATGTCGTTTCTGTTAAGTAAAGCCGTTTTATTATGCGTCTGCAATGCAATGCTTACTTATGTACAGTACGTGATAAAAGTGCACTAATGCTTTTCACTTTATTTTGGATGGTACATGAAATTATACACTTGAAAATAGAATTTTCACTGCCTGTTTAGTCTACCAGGTGTTGGCTTCATTTGTTAGGAAATGAAAAAGCGAAACGTTATCTTATGTCTTATAATCTTATGATCCCTAAACAATCGAATAAAAGGTAACTAGGGTCAGGTTGGGTTAAGTAACGCCCTTTTGATTATGTGTGTTGTCTTTTCCTACCGTTTTGTCTTGTGTATTTCTCTTGTTTACAGATATGTAAATGAATGGTTTCAGTTTGGTTGTTTATTTACTTTTTTTTAAAGCCCCTAATCAGAACTATGAATTGTATAACATATTTAATTTTCAAATCGGATGTGAGACCTCTAAAGTAAACAATTGCTATCCCTTTTTTGAACTTATTGGAGGAAGTACGTTCTCCTTAAATTGTATTTCAAAATTAACAAGTTACCTTTCAAAAAATGACTTTTACACGGAAAGACGTCGACGTTAATTAAAAAAAAATAATTACAAAGACTTATTAAGCAATAATTAGAAAATTAGAATCATAAGCTGTCTTTGATAAAAAGAATTTTAATGATCCGGGGAAGCTGTACGAAATAAATATTAATAACAGAAGAAGTAAAGTTACTTATAAGAATTTGAATGAGAAGCCGTCTGCTAAATTATTAAAATCAATGCGAAAAGTTTTTCTCATCGTCGTAATATTTTATTAAGCAGTTATTCACTCTTTTAACTCATACATTTTACTGTCATTAAATAAAAATTAATTTATGAAATAATAATAATAAATACTTATTTCAAAGTAGCCATAAATAATGCCTAGAAATATGGTAATTAATAAAGAACAATATACAATTAGCAGTAAATATCAGTAGATAG